AAGAAAGAACAAGAGAAATGGAGAGAACCATGGAAGAGAGATTTTAAAAATATTTTGTTCTTTTTTCTTATTAATTATTAAAATTTGTTAATATTTTGATTTGAGGTAATGTAAGTTTTTATTTTTACTCAGTAATGATGAGGCGTTTCATGATGAATTGATAGTGTATCGAAATAAATATAAACTCTAATAATATATATATGTCCAACATTTTTTATTCAAAAAATTATACCTGTATCCACCAAAGGAGGTCAGAACTGGGCTGAACATGTTTCCTATTGCTGTAATAATTCAGAAGAACTTCTTCAACCTCAGCTCTCTCTTCAGACGTCCCAGCATTAGGATCAAACTCCCACGTCTGTCTCCCCAAGTAATTGTTGGTGCTGTATGTATATGGGTCACCGCCACCTTCTCCTATCTTAAGCCTCCACATTCTCCCAAGGCCTTCAGTTTTCTTTCTTTTGGCAGAGGAATATGTGCCGTGTTGACTGTTAACTTGCAAGAACTAAGCTTATTTAACTAAATTTTGTGGCTGATAATTAAGGAGAAAAGAAGTTAAAAGATGGTTGAATACGTTAAGCTTTTTGATGAACAAAACTCCCATTTATATTAATTTGAGGAGACAAACTGTTTGGTTTGGCATATCATTGGAGGAGGGCAGGTGACACTTCAAGTCGGGCAAAAACTGCCTTGTCAATCTTCAAGTAATTTTGAATTTTACAAATCCAATTAATTGCAATAAATAGAAAGCAAATAAAAAATATATATTTCTTTACACACAATAAAATATAACGGACATTTTTTCTTTTTCTTGATCTCAAATATTGAAATTACCTCTCCTAAAATTTGGTAGGAAAACGAAGGCTGCATTTAATGAAGACCAAAAAGGATGTAACTATATTTTGGGTTTTGCGATAATATTTTCTTAAGCTACAAACTAGTTAGTGTAATGAATTCGAATGCATTTAGAAAAACAATTATTTAATATAATAACATTAAGATAACGCTTTATATGAGGGATGGGAATTCATATTTTCTATAATGTATCAAATTAAATTATATTACAATACTTGTTTGAAAATAAATCGACACAATATAAGATTATAATGTAATTATATTATAATCAATAAATGTAATATAATTGCATTGAAAATCCAATGCATTCTTAGATCACAACTTACTCTGCAATGTTATCAGAGTTGATTTGACATTTTTATCCTTCTTCAATCAATAAAATTTTAAAATTTATTTTTTATCATTTTAAAAGAATTAAAATAATTAGAAATAATTTTAATTTTTTTAAAAAATCTATAAAGTTTGAAAATAAAAAAATAATTTTTTAATTTTTAGAAGTTCTAAATTTTTTTTGAAAGATTATTGCAATTTTATTGCTAGTTGTCAAAATCATGTAGAATTTTGGTCTTTCATAGTTACAAGAAATAATAAACGACATAAAAATAACGCCTGAAAAACATAAGATATACAACTTAGGGGAACTTGGGCATCAAGAGGGCAGCTGAGCAAAAATACAACCCTAAAGTAACCACAGCCAGAAATCCGCTTGGAGTAATCCATACAATTCCAAACCAAAAAACAATCTGGACAGCCGGCCCTTGGGTGAAGCCACCCAACCGAGGGCTTTAGCCGCCCAATTTGGGAAGGCC